TGCGTCCGGGTCTTGGCTGTTGCAGAGCGCGCCGTGGACGTGGGGTGCACAGGTCCTTCCAGATCAGAGCGGGGCTCCTCCTGAGAAACCCGGGGGTGGGCTTGCTGGGGGGCAGGGCGCCGCTGTTTTCATTTTCTTTGGAGCCTCCACACGGCTCCCGCCGACGCCCTGCAGGCCCCAGGCCCTGGCGAGCAGGAGCGTGAAACACGGTAACGTCACTATGATTTTATTTTGTTGCCGTTGCTGTTATTCACCCTCCTCGCTGCTGGGTCTGGAGACAGGGCCTGGGGGGGTCGGTGTTGGGAGCTGAGAGGTTGGAGGTCCCGTGGGCAGAGCTGGGGGCCGGGGGCGGCACAGGGGTGCTGGCCCTCTGTCTAGGGGACGCCTCGCCGGCCCCACCAGGCCGTCCTGGAGGCCCCAGAGGGCCAAGCTTCCCCCAAGCCCAGGCTCAGCGTGGAGCCCTAATTTGGGGGCCAAGCTTGTGTGGGGGGGCCTGTCATGCTGTCCTGGGCACCTCGGTTTCCCCACCCAGTGAGGGTGAGCCCTGAGGGGGCTCCCATGGACCAGGGACTGCAGGAGGGGCCCCCACCGTCTGCAGGGGCCTTGGTGGTTGGTTCAGCAAGGGGGCGACGGGAAGTGCCCGGCCCACACAGTGCCACCTTCCGGGGACAGCGGGGCCCCCTGCCTCAGAGCCGGACAGGCCTTATGTCCCACAGCCCTGGCCCCAGTGCCCAGAGCCTGGCCAGTGTCCAGCAGCCCGCGCTGCAGTGGTCCCCACTTAGGGGGGCCAGGTCCCCGCCCCTTGGGATCTCAGCCTTTCCCAGTGACACCCCTAGAGCTTTGATCCCCCGGGCAGGCTCCAAGGGGGAGGTGGGGTGACCAGATCAGAGACGGGAAGGGGTCCCCCACAGCCCCCAGACCCTGACCTCGTGGAGGGGTGTCTGCGAACCCCAATGGGGAAGTGTGCCCTGGGTGAGGCCAGAGTGGCCCCTAGTGGCTGGCGGAGAGACTGCAGGCTCGGGCCCCTGCACCTGCCTGATGTGTCCGCGTGAGGGGTCCTGGAGCAGGGGTGGGGGTGCTGAGGCTG